GGTCCTTGCGGTGTCTTCCAAATAGAAGAACACACGACGCAGCTTTTCTTCATGGTCCCAGTGGTTGAGGGCGGCCACACGGTCGTATGTCTCCAGCCAGGACTCCGGGTCTTCGAACGATGACCCATGGAAAATTGGTGGTTCCCTGGGTTGATGCATGACCATCGTGGGCTGGGACGCTGCGGTTGTCATTGTCGCTGCAGTCGCGGTCATGGCCTTCGTCTTCCGCGCCTTGTCTGGTAGAAGCCCGTACTCCGGTGGTAGCCCTTGCTGTCGGCGGCTTGTTCGCTGCTCCTGGTTGGTGTCGGTGTCTTCTCCGCGACGTGGGCTGGGTTCACGGCTTGACGGGGGCGTCCGGTACATGAACGAAGCAGCACCTCCACCAGATGTCACGGGGTCGTGACGTGGCCGAAGACAGGAGACTTCGTGTTAGGATTTAACTGTTTATTTGGGCGAACCTGTGCCCGGTAAACTGAAAGTCCAATTACAGCAGCAGTCTCGCACAGATAGCAGTCTCGGACTGATAGCGGCGAACGGAGCGTCGGCCTTCGATCAACAACTGACAAGCGGCGAAGCGCGTCGGCATTTATACCCTTGCCGTCGAATGTTCTAGCGCTATCGCTGGCGGCGGCGTGCGTTCCAGAACAATCTGTACCATTCGCACAGTGGGCGTGATCTTATCGAAATGATCTACTACAGTCCGGAACCCTCTAGAAAACTATAGGCGCGGTTTGCGCTGAGAATCGTGTGGTGTTTTGGGACGATAACAAAAACTTGGGAAATGGAACGTGGCAATATTCATATTAAAAAAAAAGCGGCGCACAAAAAGACGGAGACAAAGAAGAGAACCACACACAGCGCTGCTCTCACAAGTGAAAGTTTAATCCGAGCAACAAGAATTTAAAAAGTAATAGCCGCGCATGACAAGTGAGGTACAACGAGATTAAATGATACGCTCATCAATAAAAGTGAACTCTTTTTTGTGCAATGTAACCGAGGTCTGGCTTACGCAAGCATCACGTGACTTGTTAATACGATAGGCTTCAGACACCTCACGGGTGAATTGATCGTGGTGCTTAAAAATAATAACAGTGTTAGACAGAACAGGTGTGCACCCACACGTGGCACAAAGCGAAGCCAAATGGGAAGGCGTGCCGTTATGCAAAGAGAGATAGTGCTCCCGCAACCTTTTATTGACACAGCGGCCCGTCTGTCCCACATAATGAAGGCCACAAGATAAAGGAATGCGGTACACCACCCCCACAGCACAAGGCACATACTTATTTCTATGGTTTACGGCACATTTCTTTACATCTGGCTTGTCCTTCTTGTCTAGCTGATTTGACACCAATGCACATATCTTTCCCAATTTATTGGGTGCCCTGAAAACCACATCAACTCCGTAGCGGGAACCAACATTTTTTAACCCATGTGCCAGTTTATGCATATAAGGAATTGCTGCGAACTTCATTTTTTCCCGATTGATTTTCCTAGCTGCACGTCCTTTTAAACCACCAATTAACTTATCGCAAACAGCCACAATTATGTTAGGGGGGAATCTTGCTTCCTCTAGTCTTGCAACTTGCTTAGCAAAACCCGAGCCCAACACATGCCTGCACGATTTTTCTAGAGCGGATTTAAGGCAGGTGAAAGCGATGCCCCTCTTTACCACCTTTGAGTGGGCTGATCCAAAATTAAGAATTGGTTTCACTGATCGTGGCTCAAAACACCAGCAAATATGGGAACTCTGAAACCGAAGTTTAAGATCGATAAATTGTAGACAGTCGGATTCTGGAACCTCCGATGTGAAGGACAGACCCATGCCTTCTGTCCTGAACACCTTCAACACATTGGAAACATTATCCGGGAACGTGGCATCCTTTATAACAACTAAAAAATCGTCCACATATCGGAAAATACGCATCACAGTTCCGCTTAGGATTGTGTCTACAATGCGATCTATTTTGGCTAAAAAAATTTCACAAAGGACAGGTGCAACGCACGAACCTATACAGACTCCTGAACGCTGGATTAGGGTCTGCCCTCGCCAACCAATGTACGTAGACTTTAGGTAAAAAGCTAGTAATTCAGTGAACGATTTTACAGATATACCACAACCACTTCTGAAACAAAGCTCATCATTGTCTTCCTTGATGCATTCCTGAACGCACACTAGGAGCTTATGATTAGGAATCGAAAAAAACATGTCAACAACATCTATACTGAACGCCAGACAGGAGCTCGTGTCGCGCTCCCTAAGAAACTGAACCACCGCACCCGAATTTTCCACTCTAAAGGGATCATGAACGCAAAGCTGCTTCAAATGGCTTTCTAAATACCTGGATACATTTTTCTGCCACGTGTCTGTTTCCGTAATTATGGTACGAAAAGGCATGTCAGGCTTATGGGTTTTTATCGTAAAGAACGGGCTCAATTCCAAACCCTGGCTTTTTTCCACAGAGGAGGCCAATTTCTCAAGATTAAGGTCCTGCCGCGCTGTGTGTGGTTCTGTTCTTTGTCGCCGTCTTTTTGTGCGCCGCTTTTCTTTTAAAAGGAACCTGTAATTATCTGTCCTGCGCTGCAGTAAGTGACGCGCCGTGTTATGACTAACAGGCCCCCAGCAACAGATTGGAGAAAAAAAAAATGCGAGGCCAAAACTTCAGTGTCAGTACCCGTTAAACAAACTGCAAGAAATACAAAACTCGAATAAAGTTATTAACGCATTATTGCAACAAACCATGCAAATCGTAGGTGACAGACCCTGGGTCGTTCAACATAGACTGCGAACATTGCAGGGTAAAGGGAGACCTTTACCGAATGGTATGAAGCTGGAAAAAAAATCACGCCTCGGGCATCCTAGATCAGCAAACAATTCAAGAATGGCTCGCAGCTCCATACAGTTTGGAAATTACAATTCATCAGGAAAGCGTGGGCTATGCGATGTGTGGAGTTAAGCGTATTGCTGGCTGAAATTCCACAGCATGGAGTGCTATGTATGTAACAGAGTGTAGTGTCGTACTTCATTGATAAAGTACCAAACTCCGGCGTTCATCATTGACAAGCCCTACAGCACTCCATTCCATGCATAGCACTCTATGCTGTGGAAGCTATGCAGGAAGTTCAGCCAGCAGTACCCATAACTCACATGTTGCACAGCCACATTTCGTTGTGTGACCTTGGCAAGGGCACGCACATCAAGCATTATGACTTTTCAAATGAAACACAAAGAAACAAACACCACAAATAACAGATATAGAACATACAGCTATGTAACACTTATTTATTGCAATGAGTTTTTGGGAAGGGTTAAGAAAATAAGAGAAAACAACCACCCGTTGTAGCAATAGCTGGTTGTCTTTTCCTTTGTTAACCTTTCTGGCACCTTGAGAGTTAGCGAAGAAACTCTATTTCCTTACTTGTGTCCATGTGCTTCGAGTTGTCAATGAATTCACCCTCGCCCTGCCAATTGCTGGCTTCCTGGTTAGCTCAATTGGTAGAGCGACCATCCCAGTAAGGCATCGGATCGGGTTCGAATGCCGTACCAGGACGATTTTTCGACAGCTAAAAAGATTTTGGGGGGAGGGGGGGGAGAGATATCCGTACGGATTCACTAATCGCTTAGTGCTACAATGGGTGACTGTCTTCTTATTTATTTGTAACCCACAAAAATTTTTATCCATTACTCTGCATAAAACTGATAGCATTCACATTGTGGGTGCAAAACAAGAATTACCTTACCGTAATTACTCGAATCTAACGCGCACCATTTTTCCGGTTAAGCGAGTTCATAAATTGCATGCGCGTTAGAATTGAGTACAGAAAAAAAAAACTGAATACAGTCATTCTATTGCCATCGACATAACCAAAATGGCTGCCCCCTACGTGCGTCGGCATGGTGCGTCGGCCATTTCTGCCTACGTTTCCCATGTGCGGCACTTCCTATGTGTGCTGAGGAATTCGTCATCTTGTAGTGCATTAGCGTCGACGGTATGGAAAGACAGACTCCAAAAACTCGAGCGCACCACGATGCCGCTTTTAAAAGAAAAGTCATTGCGTATGCAGAAACTGACGAAAATCGGGCCGCATCGCGGTCGTTCGGAGTACCCAAAACGTGCGTGCGGGACTGGCGGAAACAAAAGCAGAAGATTGTCGACAGCAAAGCTTCACGCAAAGGCTTCAGTGGACCACAGCAGGGTCGGTTTCCACAAATTGAAGAGCTGCTCGGCGAGTATCTGCTTGAGCAGCGAGCGGCACAGCGGCTCGTGACGACAGAACTGCTCTAAGTGCGGGCTATGCAGTTAGCCTTAAAATAGAAAAAGGGCTAATGCAGAGCCAGTTTAAAGCGAGCAGGTGCTGGCTAACTAACTTTATGAAGAGGAAAAGCTTTTCCCTCTGAAGGCGAACGGGCATATGCGAAAAGTTTGGAGAGGAGTACGATGAAAAGCTTCACAGTTTTCAGAGGTTCGTCCTAAACTTGCGGCACTACAACGGCTATCTGCTTGGGCAAATCGGGAATGCCGATCAGACGCCTCTTTACTTGGACATGCCTAGCACCACAACCGTCGAGAAGAAGGGGGCGAAGCAAGTTCGCGTGCTGACATCGGTCCACGGTAAAACTGCAGTGACGGCAATGCTATGTTACACGTCAGATGGGCACAAGCTTCCCTTGTACCTCATAGTTAAATGAAAGACGCTCCCGAAAGGAGTAGGTTTTTCGAGCGGTGTGATCGTGCGGGCCAACGAGAAAAATGGGTGCGCGTTGCAATCGATGTCTTACTTTTTTTTTTTCGTCGTCGAAACTGGGTGCACGTTACAATCGAGGGCGCGGTAGAATCGAGTAAATACGGTATTCCCCGGTCTAAGCCCATGCACTACAAGAAGTCTCGCTAACCTCTACAGCTAAAAGCGTGCTGTGTGGAACTGAGTGTAGGAACCCTAACATGTCAAGCCTCTTCATGAAAAGCATGAAGACTGTTCTCTTGCGTGAATGTTTGCCTCACCTTTACCCTCGAGCAGACAGTTGGCCAGATGCAGCTCCTTGCGCAGTGATTCGATGTTGGCTTCCTTCTTGGCTAGCTCCTCTTCGTGACTAGCCTGGCACTCCTTCAAGGCCTCCTGTGATCGTTCGGCTGCCACCCGCGTTTCCAGCAGCAGTGCCTGCATCTCCTCTAGCGTGGCCACCAGCTCATCAATGCGCTGACGTCGATTCTCGGACAGCTCCTACACACACACACATAGCCAATGAAAACGGACATCCAAGGGTGCGCACCAACAGCATTGTCAAGATCTTCGTCGGCTCAGCTACACTCACTGCAGTAAGTCAGCTACACTCACTGCAGTAAGAGTGTAGCTGAGCCGACGAAGCGTGGAAGGGAAACAAAGTTCCCTTCCACGTTGCTCCAAATACACTCCACATTGAAGCATTTCTCTTTTTCTTGTAGTTCTTGCTAATAAGCGAACACTCGCCACAATTCCAACTTTGTAACTTTGGTGAGTGTATGCCTATTTACAAGAAATGTACAGAAGACTCTCAGATAACAGAAACAGAACTACTGCTTAAATGGGACAACTGCCTCTAGCCCGATTGGTTCTATACTTAGGTTCTCCACCCATCTCGCAGTAAATGAAACACCTGACGGAACACATTTTCCTGGTCCCTCCAGGTCCCACTTAGCGCAGCTCTACTGTAGGTCCCTGAAATCTTTCAGCGCGTGAAATTTCGGACGTGATTCGACATACCGTAAAAGCCTACGTATAGCCCGGGGTATTTTTTTAGATTTTAGGGCATGAAATTTCGGCCCCGTACTATATGAGGCTCCCAAGAATTTTTGGCCAAAACTGAGTTTTGATTCAGTTTCCAAATTCAGCTAGGGGCTAAATAGTGTTACCCGTGGTAGCAGACATTAGTATTACAAACCCACGTGTGCAACGGTGACCAGTGGCCTTTGCTTCAACTTGGCGCTCACAACGACGGCCACGATTTTACTCCTGCAATTTTACGCCAAGTAAGCACTGCGCAGGCGTAAAACTACTTGGCTGCTTTTAACTCTTTCGTTACCATGCCTATTCAAATTGATCACCGGCAATCAACATTTTGGATCGTCAATTTTAGCATGTTAAATTTGTTTCTCGAGCACCCAGCACTTTCTGGTAATTACTCCAGCTACTCAACTTTGAGAATCCATTTGAATTTGCCTAATTTGGCAACATAGTGACTTCCGGCAGACTTTTGTGCAAACCAATGTACGTGTGTTGTTGGAAAACTTCACTAGGCTGGCGAACTCGACAAATGTGCATGCCCCTCATGATTATGCTACTTTAATAGCGACGGTATGTAATGAAAAGAACCTCAAGTCAAATATCGCATTAAAGTGTCACCTTGGCTATTTGACAGTGTTGAGCAGTAATAATTGTCAGAAACTTATGCACGCTATTCAATAAAGAGTGGTTGCTAGGAGTCAGAGAAAATGCATCTTACAAAAAATATTTCAAAGGTCCACCGCATGTTGAATGTGTTGAGGTGGCCTTCTCAGCCAGTTTCCAGCTGCTTTGGTTTTGCTTGTATTGTTATATCAGACACACAGGGTCGCATCTAGTGTCACTAGTCGTACGCACATGGGTGTGCACTAGCACTGTAAAACACACCCCGCTCGAAACTGTCTTGCAACCGCACCTGAATTGAGTGAGCACGAGCTTAGAGTGCGAGGATGACAGTACCTCAGCCTCAAGTTTTATGGCGACGATGTTTTGCGTGAGCCTGATTTATCCGCATCCATTCATGGCTTTGTTTTGTAAACGGCCTCAAGTTGTCTCCTCTGCCGCAAGTGCGTAGCTGCCGACATTTGTGCATAATCTTATAGCTACTCTGGTTACTTATGAGGTCCACACTTCGCTAGGGAGCGGTGTGCTGGTGCTGGCTGTAGAACTTGTAACAACAAGGCCACCAGAGCATATCTTGGCCTTGATTACGAAGCAGCGCAAAACGATTTAGAACTGCATGCGATATTGTTCTTTTATTAATACAATGTGTAAAATGCCAAGAAATATGCTTGGATGCATATTCATTTGGATGCATATGACATCATCGCACCTTGTTTTATTGAATGCAGCGTGGTGACGGGAGGGAAGAGGGTCCCTTTAGATAATGTGAACATCTTCAACATGCAAACTTTAAAATTGCTGTAAAACACCTTCCAAGCTATATTCGCTGTTCATATTTTGCAGATGATATATGCATGCTCACAGGAATCAATCCCGCAAGCTAGCTCGGCCGCAAAATTTGGTGACAGTACCACTTAAACATTGCAATGGCAAGCTGCAATATGATCATTTGAGTGTCTAAAACTTTGTATGAAACAAAACTTTCTAATAATTCACCTTCATAAGAAATCCTACTGAATTGAATAAGCAAGTACCCACATAACACAGAGGGCCTAGACCTGTCTTTTGGTGGTCCGAAAGACTTACGCCGGTCACTAGTTCACTTCTTTAAAGCATCACCAAAACCATTTCAGGGCCAGTATACACTAGAAGAAGAAAGTAATGTCAAACATTTCTCTGAAAGTCGAGAAAACACCTTGTGCATGTCGACTAGCCTTCGCTGCGCCTGTAGCTCAGTCTGGAAGTGCATTTCCAGGCTGGCTTTGGCCTCCCGAGCCTCGTCCAGAAGTGCGGCCGTCGACCTTGACCTCTCCTCCATCTCAGCCACAGTCGAACGCCAGGTTTCCAGCTGCCTGGTTAGGGAGTTCACCTACAAAACAGGCAAGTCCATGTGCATGCTCTACAAGTAATCCAGTGCTCAGTGGTTCGTGCGACCCTCTGCGTAGTGCTAAATTTTGGTTCGATTCGAATAGGTCGCAACTCAAACATAGATCGGCAAACTCAGACTACAATTGAGGAATGATCCAACTAACCTGCACAATATATATTTTTTCATTTGAAACAAGGCACGAGCCACTATTTTGGCTTCAAAGGAAGTGGAAACAACTTTGAGCAGCAGCATTTTACTTTTAGTAGAATGCCAGTGATAGCCTGTAAAACATGTTAAGTTTCAAAACTTGCAATAATGTAGAATCTCGATAAACAGAAATCGCTTGAACGGAATGGTAGCCCGTAGTTTGGTTGGTTTTGTATTAAGATAAGGTAAAAAAGCTTTCGTTATTCGGAACTAAAATTTGTGCTTCACCGTGTAAGCGGAACCGAAAATAGAACTTCTGGCAGAACCCTTGCCATGAGCATCCGACTTTTTAAGTTCCGTTTTTTTTTTTTTTTTTTTTTTTTCCCCTAGCCTTTCGTAAGCCTCACCTCTGGCCTCACCTCATCGATAGTTGGCGCAACGAATGCAACATTGCCACTTTTGATCAAGTCATTCGGTCTCCATTAGAGTCCCCTAGGTTACAGCAGCATCGTTCCTGCCGCCGTGGTGCCTATCTACTTCATTGCCACTTTGGTGTCTTCCAAATTTGGTGGCTCATAAGCGCTCACAAAGTTGAGGCCTCGCCTCCGTTGTTTCAATGGCGACGCAAAATCGGGCACACCATGCGCTGACGTTAGAAAAGATGGACATCATTCTTGACTTCAAAAGTGGCTCATACTCGAAGACAGTGCTCGCGACGAAGCATGGCATCTTGAAAAGCAGTCTAACGAGGATCCTGCAAGACAAGTACAAACTACGAGATGCCTTCAAAACTTCACGATTCAGGCCCCAGAGGAAGCGTCTGTGTCACAGTGACCACGAAAAACTTAAGAGGTGTCTGGTTTCGTGGCTTAAGAGAGCATTTCTATCAATGGGCCACTAATCCGTACCAAAGCAGAAGAGTTTGTTCTTCAGCTCGAGATAAAGGACTTCTTGTGCAATGAAGGCTGCCTGCACGGGTTAAGGGGGAACAAGGGTCTTAAAATTTTGTAAAAGATGCTCACATTCAAGAACTGCAATTTGAGGTATTTACAGTTGAAAGCATGTTTTGGAAAAATTTTATATTATGACAAAATACCCTTTCTTTTTGTTAGAAGCTTAATACAGTCCAGCCCACATATAACGGCCTCACTTAAAACGAACTTGCATTTAAAACGAACAATATTTGCATGACCATGAAAATATACATCAGTTCAATGGCACAAAATCGCACTTACAACGAACGTTTCAGCGCCGCTGGTCGGTTACAGCGAACGGAGTCGGCGCTCTGTCGACTTCCCGGGAAACTAGATCAGGCATCTGAGTCAGCGGAGTCAGCGGTCTGCCGACTTTCCGGGAAACCAATTTCGAACACCGATCAGGCATCGGGGAGGTGCCCATACATTCCTATCGTTAAACGCCGACCCTGCCTCCGCGACCCACTAGTTGCCGCTCTCCCCAACCCATGGAGGAAGGAAGGTTGTTTCCTTCCTCCATGCCTTGACTGCTTTTTGTTATGCACCCTTCCGTTCCTTGTCCAACGACTACTCTGAGCACCCCGCATTGTCAGACGAGGCCCGTGTTTTCACACTGCCACTGATCTTTCGAAGGCTGGTTGGCCATCTACCCTGTTTTTGATTGCTGGTACTGTCTTGGCGTCGCACGCCTGGAGTGACCAGACCATTTGCCAACATCGTCGGCCACCGACTGTATCCGATAGTCTGCGTCTTGTGCATGCGCATACGCTACCCCACCGACTCTGATAATTTGCTATTCGTTTCGTGTTTAGGACTTGTTCCCGCTCACTTCGCACTCGGCTCAGCATGCCTTCTGCGCGCTTGCGGAAGCACGAAAAGGGCTGCTAATTAGCGCAGAACGTATCGCGAAATATCAAAGTTAGTGCAGCCACGCAAACCCGCCGGCACAACAAAACGATTTTTTTACCACGGCCGCCGATTCTTCGAACACAGCTGCGCGCACCGATCCAGGCGGACATGCTTTGACTTCTGCAGGCACTCTTTCTAAATTTTTCTACGTGTGAGTTTCGCGAACCTTTCAAACAAGTTCGCGAACCTTTCAAGCAAGCTACACAACCTGCCTCTTTCCCGTGTGTTTTGGTTTTCAAGGTCGCCCTCCCACTGCATCCTCCCTTCTCTTTATTGCAACTCCTTGCCCTTCTCTCGCAAGTCTACTCTCCTTTCTTGATCACAACCCTTTTGCCCGTCTCCACCGCTCCGCGACGCCCACCACGCCGGCTCGAATCAGTTTCGTTTTCTGACTGGAAACAGGCCCAGAGCTGTTCCATGTGTTCTGGAATGTGTGTCGCGTGTGCGCTTCTTGCTCGCTCTTGGTGTGTGTGTGTGTGTGGTCATGATGGCTGACGGGAGGACTAGCACACTTTTTCCTGCTGCTCAACAAAACGTTGAAAGTGTGACCGCTTGGCTTGAACGTAATCCGCACGTTAGGTGCCGCATGGCGGAGCGCTTGCCCATAGCTGTTGACCACCTGGTAGCCAAGGTCATAGCTGTTGACCACTTGACAGCCTGCGATCGTGATGCAGCAGCCAAGGAAACCACCGATTTTCTGTGGATCATCGTTTGAAGATCCGGACACCTGGCTAGAGACCTATGACCGGGTTGCCGCCCTGAACCACTGGGACACAGAGGAGAAGCTACGCCGCATCTACTTTTATTTGGAGGACGCGGCTAGGACACAGTTCGAGAATCGGGAGTCTGCCCTTCAAACATAGGATCTCTTCCGCGGCGCATTCCTGGATACGTTCAGGAGCATCGCCCACAAAAAAAGAACTGCGACGCTGCTGGAAACGAGGGTGCAACTCCCAAATGAAAATGTAACAATCTTTATGGAAAAAGTGACGCGACTTTTCCAACACTCTGACCCCAACATGCCTGAGGAGAAAAACGTTTGTTTCCTCATGCGAGGAGTCAAGCAAGAACTCTTCGCTGGACTGATCCGAAACCCTTGGCAAACCGTCCAGGAATTCTCGTCAGAAGCAAGATCAATCGAGAAGACACTGGAAATGCGAACACACCAGTACAATCGGCGAACCATGGAAGACAACCCAGCTCTTCATGCCCTCGGCTCCGACAAGCTTCGCGAAACGGTATGAGCGATCATACGGGAAGAGGTGCGTAAATTGTTGCCGGCCTCACAGCATCCCGTCGACCCTATCGTAGACATTGTACGCCAGGAAGTCCAGCAATTTTTTAGCACAGCCTGAGTCACAAGCCATGAGCTATGCTGCTGCAAGCCGCCGTCACACCACTCCTCCATGCCCACGCCAAAACGCTGCCCCATCGCACTTCCGTCGCCAGACGCCACCGCTGCCACCACCACCACCATCGTGCTAGCGTTCGCCAGAGGGCCAGCGCAGCGCACCAAGGAAAATCGACGTTTGGCGGGCACCTGACAACCACCCACTCTGCTACCACTGCGGCGAGGCCGGGCACACCCACCGCCGTGGCCAGTAGGCTTCGACATCAACGCACCGTGCCCACAACGGGCTGAACAACCACATGGCATCGCCGACTACCTCACGGAAGCACAATCGACACTCTGACGTCCTTATCGTTCGCCGTCGCCAGGCTGCTTTGCTTCGCCACAGTACACCGGCTCTGTTCGAGGCTGATCTCCGAGCCCTTACTTGGAAAACTAAGGGCAGCAACCAACGGAGGTGCGGTTTTTGTACGACGAACTACCGAAGACCCTCTGACGCCGCCACGAAATCGAAAGTATCTGCCGCAAGACAAAAAGGGTCTTGACGTCGAACCTTCGCAGCCTGCAGAAGACGTCACGACGCTACGTGGAAGCAGCGGAGCAAATAGACGTAGCTGTGACCCGATGCCACGACCCAACTGCAACACACGATGATGAACCAGCGACCTTGTTGTAGTATTTGACGGCCGCCTCGTCACTGCTCTCGTCGATACTGGAGCCGACTATTCCGTTGTCAGTGGGTCTTTCGCGACGAAGTTGAAAAAAGCAAGGAAAGCATGGCAAGGCCCCGAAATCCAGACCGCTGGAAGTCACTCAATAACGCCGAATGGAGTCTGCACAGCAAGAATCACCCTCAATAACAAGACTTATCCTGCGAGCTTTGTAATCTTACCAAATTGCTCCAGGGATGCGATTCTTGAAATGGACTTTCTAAGACAACACGGCGTTATCATCGACCTGAGGTCTGGTTCAATAGCACAAACCCCAGAAAACGCGCTTCCAACCCCTACAACGCCAATGAACAACGCATTGCATGTGCTACAAGAGCAGGTCCCCGTGCAAACTTTTTCTAGCGTTGTCGTTTCCATTGGCAACGGAAATGCCGAAAACTTTGAAGGCATCGTTTAAGCACCTTCTTCTGAACCGTCAGATTTGCGTTTCAAGAGGCATAGCTGAGCTGCATGACGGCAAAGCAAAGGTGATGCTGACAAGCTTCAGTCATGAATATAGGCACCTCAACCATGGTACGGCGGTTGAGATGCCTATATAGACACATCGACGAATTCACGGAGGCTAGCAATTCATTCGCCTTCTTCGATGCTGCCAATGCTGCTTCGACGAATCGAGGTGCCGAACCAGATTTTGATGTCAACCCGAGCCTTTCGAAGTGCAAGCAAGACCAGCTCAAGTCCCTGCTCTTGCAATTCAAGGACTGCTCCTCATCATCATCGCGAATTCGACAAACCCCAGACGCAAAACATCACATCATAACAGATAAAAGTGCCCAACCAGTTCGAGAAAGCCCGTACCCAGTCCCCAACGCGTGAATGCGACGCCGTGAAGTTGTTCTTGCGAAACGGAGTTTTCTTAAAGAAGAACTTCTGGCCCCTTCGAGCCAACTATCTTCTCGTGGTTCCTTCAGCAGTGAGATCAGAAGTACGAGGCCCTACACGATGACCCGACGGCTGGATACCTCAATCTTTCCCAAACGCTCACAAGAATACGAGAGAAGTACTACCGACCACGACTTTCCGTCGACATCACTCGCTACGTCAGGACCTGCCGCGACTGTCAGTGACGAAAGACACCGCCGACTAGGCCAGCCAGGCTTCTCATGCTCATCGAGCCACATCGTCGGCCCTTCCAGCAAATCCGCATGGACTTACTGGGGCCGTTCCAGACGTCGAATTCCGGGAACAAATGGATCGTTGTAGCTACTGACTACCTCACAGGCTATGCCGAAACAAAGGTCCTCCGCAAAGGCAGTGCCTCTGAGGTAGCAAAGTTCTTCGTCGAGAACATTGTCCTGCGTCCAGGAGCTCCACAAGTCCTCACCACTGATAGAGGGACAGCCTTTACGGTGGACCTAACTCAAGAGATCCCGAGATACAGCTAGACAAGTCACCGCCACACCACCGCCTACCATCCACAGACCACCGGCGTCACTGAACATCTTAATAAGACCATCGCTATTATGATGGCTATGTACGTCGACGCCGAGCAGAGCCCGTAATGAAATCCTTTCGTACGTGACCTTCACGTACAAACAATACGGTTATCCAAGAAACGATGCAGATGACGCCATACAAGTTGGTTCATGGAAAGAGCCCGGCAACAACGCTCGACGCTATGCTTCCAAACGTCGCTAACGAAGAGAACCTGACGTCACCGCCTACCTTAAGCGCGCGGAATAAGCTCGTCAACTCGCCCGCCTGCGCATCAGGAATCAGCAGGCGGAATCCCTAGGCTGAGTACCAGCCTAGGGACCATGTCTAGGTATGGACGCCGATAGGCCAACGTGGGCTCAGTGAAAAACTTTTGTGACGGTACTTCAGACTACAAAGTAGTTCGACGTATCGGTCCACTTGACTACTAGGTTGTTCCCTTAGGCATTACGAACTCTCAGCGGCGCTGATTGCGACCTGAAGGCGTCCATGTTGTGCAGCTCAAGCCCTTCTATGCGCGACCCTGATGACTGTATTTTGTTGTTGCTGCTGTACTTATTGTTATTGTCTTTATTATTGTAAATTCATCTTTTCTTAAAGCATCGGGACGATGCCTTTATCAGAGGAGTGGGGCAATACCACATTCATTTTCTCAAGTTTTGTTATCTCCCCGTTTCACTATGTTCAGCGCATACCACGCCTACAATGTTGGAGAAGTTTTGAGGCTTTAGTAGATCGTTTTGTCAAGATTATGCCCACTTCAGAAATGTCACAGATTATTCGGGAACCTACGTCGCCGCTAGCGATAACGACAAAATATATTATGGCAAAGGTATAAATGCCGACATACTTGCCACTTGTCAGTTGATCAACGGCCGACGCTCCATTCGCCGCTATCAATGCAAGACTGTTGCTTCATTTTCATTTTTGAGAAATAATATATTTTTGGAAAGTTTCCATTCTGGAGGTATCCATGCGTTCCTTAACGAAGAATTCACTGTAATCCAACTTTCCGTTTACTGGGCACAGGTTCGCCCAAATAAACAGTTTATTATTCGACTCGCAGTGTGCTCCATTTGCCCACGTCATGACCCCGTGACAAACATTGTACCATTCTTTTCCACAGCATTTTAACTACAGGCTAAAGCTTTTTTTTTTCTCTCAACCTTCATAGAATTGTACTTATATGATAAATACCAGCTAATTAGTGGAAGCTCAGTTTTACCTTCCAGCTTTAAAAATTATTTTAGATCAGAGAAATAGCTATTGTGACATCTAGTTTGCTTTAGCCTGTGGGATGAACCTTTTATAGGAAACATGTAGCTTTGACGACCAACTCTTTTTATTACAAGTTACTATAACGACCTGTAAGCAATTACCTAATTATAATGTGAAAATTTGTCATAACTTTTGCTAAATGAGATATTTGAAATCTCTCTGCAAATTTGAAATCTCCATTTCATGGTACACATGCATGATAATTCTCATGACAGTAGGATTATAAATAAAAAGTTTTTTTTAAGACCCTTGTCCCTCCTAAAAAAAGAAATGGCCTCGTTTTTTTACACCGTTGCAGGAGAAGCCGCAGCAGCTGATGCGAATGCTTGTCGCGACTGGTGGGCAGGACGACTGCCGAAGATAATGCAGGAGTTCCAGGATGGCGACATAGGCAACGAGCATGAAAGGGCACTTTTTTTTAAACTCCTGCTGTCAAAATCAAATGCTTTTAAATGTGAACTGTGCACAGGTGGCAAACTGAGCAAGGACAGACTTACTGTTCTTGTTGGAGCAAACATGTCGGGCAGCGACAAGTTGAAGCTCCTAGTGATAGGAAAATCCAAAAATCCTTGCTGTTTCAAGGACATCACTACCACGCCTGTGACTTGCACAAGCCTAACTCGAAAGTTTGGATGACCCAAAACCTGTTCAGCAAATCGCTGCACACAGAGGATGCGCAATGTTTGCGGAAAAATAGGAAAGTCCGTTTCCTCGTTGACAACTGCCGTGGACATAGAACTGTAAGAGGACTGAAATCAAGTCAATTAAGGCTGGTGCACACCGACGACTAGCAGCGCTCGCGCGACCATTTGCGACTGGTAGCAAACAGTCGTGAACGGTCGCGAACGGTTGCAAAGCGACTGCTTTGGCTACTCGCTTCCTGACCGATTTTTCAGTCGCGCAACTGCGGTCGCAAAGCTGCTGGAACCAATCAGCGATGCTCAATTTTTGTTTGTTTTTTCATTGCACTAGCGAGAACGGATAAAAACAAGAAGTGCGGCGCACTCGGTTCGCTCCGCTCACACAACTGGCGGCAATCAGCTGACTGGCGCCGGTCTCCAGAGTTCTCGCTGATAACGAGATCTGGACGTGACTCTCCGGAATCGCGACTTCCGGTCGCTCGCATGCAGCCTCTGATGGTGTGAACATCAGTCGCTTTTTGGTCGCCAGTCGCAAATGGTGGCGCGACCACTGCTAGTCGCCGGTGTGCACCAGCCTTTAGAGTGCCTCCCAGCTAACACCACAACACTGTTGCAGCTCATGGATCAGGGAGTTCTCCAAGCCCTCAAGTCACGCTTCCGCAAGGGTCTCTTGCAGAAGATGCTCTTGTGCATGAGCCAGGATAAAGAGTACAAGGTGGATGTTCTTGGTGCCGTTCACCTCATTGCCAATGCCAGGAGGCAGCCGACTCCCACTAGCACAGCAAATTGCTTCAGGCATGCAGGATTTTCTTCAAGTGACCTGACATTTGACTTGGAAGACTTTGAATGCGACAGCAATGATTCCCTTGAAAAGCGAGAGGTAATTGAGCAGTGTGCTTTAAAGGAAATCTAAAGAAAATCACACTGGACTTGGATGAATATGTGCAAGTTCACAGTGGCATTGCAACTAGTCCTGACAACACCGAGGAAAGCATAGTTGAGGAGGAGCTGGAAGAAGACTCTGAAGAGGTAGCTGCCACAGAAGTTATCACACTTCATAGGGCGGCGTCTGCTGTGTTTTATCTGAGAACTTTTTTTCTTAAGGAGCCAGAATTGCTTCAATGCCTAAGTGACATGAAGAAAAAGGAAAAAGATTCTGAAGATGAAGATGCAAGGACTCAAACAAGAAAAAAATTGATGAATTTTTCTGTCCACAGTGATTAATTGATCCCAAATAAACTTGTAATTGCTATGTAAAAACCTCATGTAGTTTTGTTCCTTTCTAAAAAACTAAGAGTTACGTGCACCTCATGGTGAGAGCGCACACATAAATACGCACTTTCTAACAACTCTCTTAGTAAAATGGAACAAATATTTCTGGTCCCTTGGAGTTCCGTTCACTGAGAGTCTACAGTACTTACAGCATATAAGTCAGCGTACTAAGCTATGTGAGGGTAATACACTCAACACTCGATATAACGAATTTATATATAATGAAATATTGCTTATAATGAAGTAAAGAATAGCCTTCTAATAGATACAGTGCTAGGAATATTACTTTATGACGAACTTTCGGATAAAATAAACTGACTTTTGAGTAAGATTGCATCTATGTTGTAATGAGGTTTGAGAGCATCTTCATTTAACCTTCAAGTGGGGCTTCGCGGCAATGCGGATTTTCTCTGAATAAAGTGTTTTCACGGCTTGGCACCACTTTACTGCAGTAATACCACCTTCCTCTATATACCACAAAAGCCTCGATATAATGACTTCAGAGGTCATAAAATATCGGTTATAATGAAACGAAGAATAGCCTTGCAATAGATACAGTGTTACAAACATTACTTTATAATAAATTTTTGGATAAATCAAACTTATGCAACTTTGTTATAATTGGTCAATAAGTTAAATTTGGTTTGAAGCAAATTCCAATACCATATTTACTGGCGTAATGAACGCACTTTTCTTCTCGAAAAAACGTAGCAAAGTTGGGGGGCGCGTTTATTACGCGAGGTAAATTATATGCAAACTTTTTTGGGAGAAGGAAAAAATGCGGTAATGCAAAAATAAAGCTAGGTCATTTAGCCTTCCGCAATTTACATACAAGTACACTGTTTGCAAACAGCTTCTTTGTAGCACTTTAGTCATCTTTTATGGTTGATGGCGCTATCTTTTACGCCAGTTTTGCACTCCGGCACAAATTTTTGTACACACAACGCAGAACACCTAAGTTAGAAAAAAAAATGAAAAGTAAAACCTGGCAAACCTGCTCTTTCTGGTGGTCCAACTGCGTTTGGAGGTCAAGGGTGAGGCCCGCCTTGCTGCGGCGCAGTTGGGCTGCCTCCTGTCTGTGTGCAGAGGCTTCCTCTCGCAGTTCTTCGAGCTGGGCCTGAATCAGCTCCCTTTCCTGCTGAAGACGCTTCTCCGCATGCTGCGACAAAAGGCAGAATCAAAAAGACAAGCACTCAATAAATTACACTTGCGAATGCATTTGGATGAACCTGGAAAACACAGGCTCTTTGTCTGGTATGGGCACTTCACGTGCAACCACAACCAAAGCAATTACAATGAGGATAGCATAAACGCAAGTATTGCCATCAGTACAAAAGTTTCGACTGTTGGACCAGATGGCACATCATTATGAAATCGCAGTGAAGCATAAAACCACACAAAAAAAATTCAGAGGACCTGTCCACAGCATTACTTAGTCTACCGAGTCTTGTTTTGCTCAACAATTTCACAATGCTACAGCTACCCAGCATTCATCACTTCAGGGTAGACCATGGCTCGCATGAAGCATAAGTAGGAGTATACGAATACTAGTGGGTTTTATAAACTAATCGAATATAATCAAACAGCAATGATATCAAATCGAATACAAGTATGAATAGAATATTATTTAAATAACTTTTGCATAGTAAGGTAACCATTGCAAAGCAGCCCTAGCATTCCACATCTTATTTTAAACATATTTACAAGCTTTACCGAAGGAACATTAAAATCACCAACAAAAAATAACCCGAAATTTCTTAAACTAAGGTGAACTCGTACACAGAAGCAATTACGCTCTTAAAAATATTTCTTCTGTTATTGCAGGCTGAAATGCGGGAATGACTGTGGGTGCAAAGTTTTAAAACTTTAAATAAAACTAACATAAATATTAAATTTTTTCCCAAGTCAAGATCCCCATGAATACTACAAAGAAGACAGTGAAGTGACAACTCTTTCACTTCAACGGCACTCGAGTTTCAAGCACAAACACTGCCATCCTGTAACCAATATATACAGCCGATTCTCTCGCAAGACCTTGGGCTGCATGCGCCTAGGTACTTCAAAGATTCAAACATGAAATTGCAACCTCATTTCGTTCATTTGATTCTTTTCAATCAGTGCTTATTTGAAAATGTATTCATATAATATTTCCATTTCTAATATACACCATTTGATACGAGTACCAAGTAGAAGAGAATATTATTTGATTTGTTGTTTGGCATTTTTGAATATTCACACACTCTTATGCCTATACTTGGCAAAAACTTGTCATGACATTGGAGCAAAAGCTATGGTGGCGGGGCTTCCACACATGTGTGTTGCCCCACAAGTACTACAGCAACTTCCAGCTGATTGTGGTTGTGCTCGCTCACATTGTTATCGCGTTTAGAGAAACATATACATGAAAATTACGAATGGAAAAGTTATTTCAATTGTTCAGCGTACATTTTAGTGTCCTATTACAAGTATATTTTTCTTGGAGAACTAAACAGTGCACACTGACATCACGGATGCCATGTTATCCTGAAAAACAAGTGGTGCAGTCAAAGAAATGTAAATAAAAGGAAAGCTTTTTTTTTTTTTTACAAGGAATTTGAACAATAACATTATTTACCAACATCCTACCACTGTTTCAGTGTTATAATAATAAGTAAAGCTGCATTTATTTCAGGAAGATAAATGAGAAAATTATCAGTAAACATAAGCACTTTTCTTTGGCGTGGTGCCAGGCATGCACTTTGGTTCTGCGGCTTCCACAAATCTGTGAAGAAAAGTTGCGGAGTATAGCCTGTGTTCATGCCCGAAAGAGCATGAACATAAAATGACCTGAACACAGAACATGTCAGGCAGAACAGCCTTGCATGAAGACCCGATATTTGTGTTCATGCTAATAACAAGCATGCATCACTGCTTGGGCCACCCATGAGGAGGAAATGGAGAGATCAGAAGAGAGCCTTAATCATTAAGGCGCAGCACGAGTTGAGGTTTCTTCGTCATACCAATTACCGTGGACTCTTAGTAAATAGAAATCTGTTGAAAGGAACTGCTGCTTAAGTGGAACAACTGCCTCTGATATGATTGGTTTCATACTTGAATGCTGCAACCCAGCTCACCTTTCAGTAAATAGAACTCCTGTAAACAGAACACATTCTCCCGGTCTCTTCCAGTGTCGTTTAATGAGAGTCTAATGTATTATGGGCTAATAACACTTCACACTGCTGTAAACCAAATCAATTTTAGCAGCAATAATATGAAAAAAGGGCCCAGTGTACTATCAAATCCTAATAACCAAAATGAGCTTGAATATAATTGCTGATGAAACCTAACACGTTCTCTTCTTGATAACAATAATAATAATATTATAATATTTTTTATTAATAATAATAAGCAAGCAGTTCCGCAGTTCCTTTATCGATTTATGTTTCGGCCGTGGCACTGCCTTCATTAGAGAATGATAAGTGAACAAAGCATATGCCGCTTTTAAGGACCACTGATATCTCAAAAAAACGTCAGGAGTTCAAAGTCAAACATCGATGACAACTCATTTTGATCTATCACCTCATGTAACAAGATAAGTGCAACAACTCAAGGCACATATGAATAGGCAGCCATGGCATCAGTGAAACATATAAACCAGTAAAACGATGGGGAAACATACACACACACACACACACACACCTCACTGCGAAGGAGACACAAGAGATTAGAGCTACATGCGCCGCAAAACAGATATCAATCGCATTTACTTCGGCACGGCACACATAAGAGTACTGAAAGATCAGGAAACAAAATTTTTTACAAGTCACTATGGTCGCTATACAAACAGTAGCATGTGCAACTTTAATGCAATAAGCAGTGGGAAAAAAGAGAGTGAGGCGCATGAGGGAGAAAAAAGTGTGTGTGACGAGAGGGGGAAGATAGCAAATGAACATGATAAACTTTGTCACCCACAAAGAAATGTGACACGTCCGATGCTTTCATTTATGTCAGCGTGAAGACTGTTGAATTTATTGATGAGGTAGGATTCACGAACTTCTCGGTCATGATGAGTTTTAAATCTAGCTGGAGAAAAAGATAACGAGTGCTGGTGGCTCGTGGAGCAAGGAGCCTGGAATGTTTGTAGGCTTCTAGCTGGCTGAACGCCACGGCCGCTGCTCTACTTCGGCAGCTCGCTTCCTCCTGTATGTCTCGTCATTTCATTTAACCTCCAACGATGGCACATCTACGTCAGATGCCGTCATGTCGCTACAAGTGGTGACCACAGACACACGAACAAGCGACCGGCGCTGCACTACTGCCACCGAGCTCCGCGGCCATGTTCCAGTCGGCGCGAGCCTGGCCGCCCAATTCGACCCGCCACTCCTGCCATTTCAGAAGTCTCGCCTGAAGTCGTGTTTCGAGGAGTTTGCAGCGGCCTTGTATCACAACGGCATCTGGATCCAAGAGTTCATGTGCAAGGTATTGGAATATCGCCTTACACATAACCTAAAACGCCGCCTCACATACTTCTCCTAGAGCCCTCGCCTGTATGGCAACCTGCGCGACCCCGTGCTCATGTTTTACGGCATGAAACATGATACTTCTCCCAAAAGCGACAACTGCACCAGGTTCATCACCATCCAGGACGCTTCCTGCATCCCAGCCAATTCAGACCGTTCTGCTGCCGACACTAACTGGCCAAACAGGTAACGGAGACCAGCCTTCCATGCCAATCGACCTGTCTTTCCAGAGACTTGCAGCCCCGGAGTCCATGGCTCCGGCGTGCCGGATATGCCACCTCTCTGTATCACGGATCAAACGCTGGCCACTGCTCCCCGCATCGACAAACTCACTGCAGAAAAATACTCAGCTGCACTTTCTGCCCTTGGCAATTCGAAGACCTCAGCCTGGCCAGCTGATTTGCCTGTAGACTCCATTCCGGTCCCAACACGTGTGAAAGCCCAGGACACCACACCCACCATGGAGCCAGAGCCCACTGTCGCGCTGCATCCCATCAGTTTTCCCAGCACACTGGTGCTGGCTGCTGAAACGCTCGTAGGCTGTCAGGTGGACTGTGAGTTCTTCTCCTACACCTCAAGGGGCAACCAGGGTTTTTCCAGACCTGCATGCTCACCTGTCTGAGGAGGCAGGTGACACACCTTGTCACCAATCCACAAAACAGGTACCATCCAGGGTCGCGGACAGCCATTACGTATTACGCCCACCTTTTTGTGAAGGCAGGAGAGGCAGCATCACGCCTATGCGCATGCACGACCCATGGTCTGTCGTAAACATGCGTTGCGCTGTCCACAAACGCACCGTTGTGGTCGCTCAAGCGGCTGCAACACGCCATGCTTAAAGTGGTGTCAACCTTGGCGTTCGTACCAATTTCACCGCCACGATCTTCAACAATACTCTCTGCCTTGCTTGCTGCTCCTAGCTACGCACAATTATCGTGCTCCTCGCCCACTGTGTGGTTCTCAGTGCCGCCCACCGGAACTGTCAGACTCCTCCGTACGCATTCTACCCTGACGACATTCAGACTTCAGTGGACACTTTAGGAACTGCCACACATGTCCATAGTGTTTATATGTTCGTCTTACCTCTTTTCCATTCATTTTTTTTTTAATCGCGTAACACGCTAGGCGGGGAGTCCTTGTAGCGTAGCGCTAGTGGCAGCCAGCCGGCTGAAGAAAAAAGACGAGTGCTGGTGGCTCATGGCGCGAGGAGCGTGGAATGTTCGTAGGCTTCTAGCTGGCTGAACGCCACGGCCGCTGCTCTACTGCGGCAGCTCGCTCCCTCCTGTACATCTCGTCATTTCATTTAACCTGCGACAACGGCACGCCTACGTCAGACGCCGTCATGTCGCTACAAGTTAATTCTCGAACTAAACAATTTCGAGTTCAATGGTCAGCGTTACGTCCAGGTTAGTGGCACTTCTATGGTCACTAGGATTGGCCCCAATTACGCAAATATCTTTATGGGCCTCCTAGAAAATGAGTCCCTTTGAAGCGGTGACTTGAAGCCTTTCAACTACAAACATTTCAATGATGACATCTTTTTAATATGGCACCATGGCAAATCCAATCTTCTTTCTTTCATCGAGGATTTCAGTAATAACCATCCAAATATCTCGTTTTCGCATTCATACTCGGCTATCAGTGTCAATTTCCTTGATGT